GAATACTGGAGTGGGTTGCCATGCCCTCCTCCAGGGGATCTTCCTGACCCAGGGACTGAATCCATGTCTCCTGCATTGCAGGCAGATTCTTTACCCTCTGAGCTACCTGGGGAGCCCAAAAGAAAGCAGGGAAGAATGCTAACCCATGTGTGGCACTGATCTTGGGGCTGGGATCCTATACGACCTTGCCCTCACCTGTAGCACCTCTCTACTCCACTCCCCCAACACATGTTCCTTCCCAACATACCAGGAAGCCAACACTTGGACAGCTCCAGGAAGCCCTCCAGGTCTGAACAGCTGCTCCTTGTTTATCTGTTTCCCTTGTATGTTGGGTGTTTTCCATGGGGCATGTAGCCCACTTTCCCATCAGACTGTGAACAGCTGGACCTTCCTTGTTTGCCTCAGTCTTCCCTTCTCTCACAGCTTCGCCTATCAGATCTAGATGTACTCAAGGGTTTTGATGATAAGGAGCACCAGACAGAAGCTATTATGTTGAGTACCCATGATGGGCGCCAGGTACTTGCTTCAGTTGTGTCCAACTCTTTGTGACCCTATAGACTGTAGCTTGCCAGGCTCCTCTGTCCATGGGATTCTCCAGGCAAGAATACTGGAGTGGATTGCCATGTCCTCCTCCAGGGGATCTTCCTGACCCAGGAATCGAATCCACATCTCTTCTGTCTCCTGCATTGGCAGGCGGGTTCTTTACTACTAGCGCCACTAGGTAAGGCACTAAAAGTAGAAGCTTTGCCCCCAAATTATCTCAGATCAATTTTCCAAAATCCTTGTGAGGTTACAGGTGAGGAAGCTGAGACCCAGAGTGGCTGGCCCCAGGCTGCTCACCCAGGAAGAGTCAGAGCCAAGTTTCAAACCCTGATTTGCTCAACACCAGTAATTCTACAGTGGGACTGGCCCAAGAAGACCCTGTCCATACTGCAGCTACACATCCTTCTTCCCATGGAGCTGGATCCACATTCCAAGGGCTTAAGGAAAAATATGAAAGGTAGAGAAATGAATGGGTCTGTGGCCAATCCCTAAAAATGTAGCTCCCATGGCCAAGCCCCAAATCTGCGATGCTCTAAACACACAGGAGAATGTATTATTTCTCCAGGGTGGATCCTTCATTTATCAGCTCAGGCATCACTGGAGAGCAGACATCATCTTGGGTTGGTTCTAATCCCCTGCCTCACAGTGACCTCCCCCCATTGCCTGTCACAGGCCCTCCTCTGGGACACCAGGTGAACGTCCTACATAGTGAGTCAGTCCTCAAACGCCACCTGGCATTGCTCTCTCATTGTCCTGTAAACCTGAGCCCGGTCTCCACAACCAGCGCCAGTGGAGGAGAAGGGCCTCATTGTAGGTTCGTATCTTCCTCTGGAGGTGAAGTGACCTGAGGTGACCCATATCTCTAACTGGGAGACCCTGAGCAACTTCTCACCTCTCCATGTCTCAGCTCACCCATCTGTATAAAGAAATCAAAGACTTTGCATGGACTGTAGGAATCACATGAAATCCTGCACATTGAACATCTGGCAGCAACGACAGTAACTGCTCACATTGGCTATTATTTGCATTCCCTGAACATTCACGACTGGCATTTGTCTGAAATAAACAATCAGGAGAGGAAATGACTGCGAAAGCACAACGCCTCTCAAATCCAAACAAATAATTTCTTGTTTGCTTTAGATGCACTAGCTCCTCTCCAACACCATATGACTTGACTTACACCTACACATGCGTGTGGGTGCAAAGAATGTGAACCGGAGCTCACATCCTTATGGGAAGTTGTCAAAGGTAACTGCAGTTTGCATCCAGCGTCATTAGGACCATTTAAAGACAAGTGGTCTGAGGCCAAAGCCAGTTTACCTAAGGTCTCTCTAGGGACAGCTCATAACAGCTGAGAGAGGAGCCCTACTCCAGGCAAGGAGCCTGGTCTAAGCAGCAGCTGCCTACCTCCCCCAAATACTCCCCTTTCCCAGTGTCCCAAGCAAGGCCTTGGCAGAGAGGAAGGAAGCCAAGGGCTGACAGTACCACCCAAATGATGCAGGTCACCTGCCTGCCCTTTCGTAAACAGACCAAAACACAAGACCCTTGGTATCTAGGTGGCTCCACCCCCATCCCAGGGACAAGCTTGCCTTTGGCTGGATGTCCTGAGAAGACCTCTGCAGTGTGTTCCCAGCGTTCTGGAGCCAGCAGCGCCCCTCCTGCTTGGGCCCCAGGCCTCTCATCAGCTAGCTCCGGCTAACGAGCATATCCCATAAAGCCGCTCAGCTCTGCAATTTGCCAAACCGCAGACTCAGAATTCACCATCACCTCACCAGGAGAGGCTGGAAGAGGGCAAGCTTCTAGAGTGCAGAACGTCGTCCAGGACATAAATGACACGGGCGCAGTGTGTCCTGCCAGCTACCCACACCAAAGTGCCTCGGCCAGAACACTTGACCTTCTGGTGTGTGGTGTCGGCCATGCAGAAGCCAAGGGAGGAGGCGACCCTAGGCTTCAGAGGCACCGCCTCCCCACCTGGCTCTTCCTGCCCTGTTGGTGCCGCCGACACATTCTACCATCAGCCCCCTCTCCTGATGCATTAACGCCCTACACATGCAGGAACCTCTTGCTATGACCAGATATTTGTCTTCCTCGTCAACCCCAACCAGCCTTCCAGGGCACTTAGGTGAACCTAACCCACGTGATGGGCAGAAGGCCAGTTAGACCCAGGTGCTGTGACTCGCTATGTCACAAGCGACTCTACCCCAACCGGTCCTCAGTTTCCTCATCTGTAAAATGAGGGGTGGAGTTTCATGAGTCCTCAGGTCCCTGCCAGCTCCACTGTTACGTAACACACAACACTGTCTCCTTTAGCTGTTTTCCACAACCTGTGTTCAGGGCTCTGTATGCTCCCGTCTGCTCAGTGACATCACTCCCGGCCCACACATAGAGTCATTGATTCTTAACTTGGGAAGCAGAGACATCCCAGAAAACACTGTTCATGAAAAGGGAGGAAATGATCATGTCAATGGAACTGCATAGGACTTTTTCTTTTTCTCACAGAGAACAAGTTATTAGCAATCTTAAAACCCCAAATCTTTCTTCCTTCTTGCCAGACCATTAATAGCTGCTTTTCAAAAGTGCTTTCTTAGTCAGAATCACGCCAATCATAATCTACCACCTAATGAGTGCCTTATGTGCCAGGACCGCACTAAGTGCTTTGCATGGATGATCTCATTTAATTCTCCAGACAATCCTATGAAGTAGATACTACCATTATCCTCATTTCAAAAATGAGGAAACTGAGGTCCATGGAGGCTCAGTAAGTTGCCCAAAGTTGCACAGCTAGTCAGTGTCTGAGCCAGGCTTTGAACGAGAGCCTCTCACTCAAAGCCTCAGCACTAACCACCTCTCAGCACTGTTCGCAGTGGGCCCCCAGCCCCTTTAGCAATGCTCCTGGCTAGTGTGTCCTATATCTGTAACCTTGGACATCACTGGTCAAAGTTAAGGTTTGATGTTTCACCTAAGATCCACAGAGAGTGCCATCTATTGAAAGCAGTGCCTACCTTACCTGAGGACTAGAAAAGAAGCCCTAAAACTTAGCCTGCAACATTTGCGAAAAGAAGTTAGGAAGGCTGACTTCATAAAAAGGGCTGGGATATGCCAATGGACATCTGCCTCAGAGGGAGGGCGACCACATGGGAACCCAAATCCTCCAAAGACAGCTTTCTCAAAACGGCAGGGGGAGATGCTTGCTGGGCCAGTGATACAAAAGGACAAACCCTCCCACCAGCACCCATCTTTCGGTCCCCTCAGGAACCAGAGTCCTTGGTTAACCTCCTCCCCAACCTGAGCCCAAGCTCGTTTATTCCACTAAAAAGAAACCTGAAGATCAGAGCTATTGGGGATAAAGACAGAAAGAGTAGCCTGAGGCTGACATTAGCACAAATTCAGTCCCCTTCCAACAAGGAAATAAAAAGCAGAGATCAATGTGCTGTCTAGGGCAGCAACCCACAGCCTGTTTTAATTGTGAAAATTAATGCTTTGAGCATTCTAAATGCTCCTTTAAATGCCTAATTTGCAAATAAGATGCAGTCCTTGCTGTCTGTTTCTTTCGTCTCAACAACAGGAGCAAAGCCGCTAGGACTGGCAGCCTTGGGCGCCAAGGACACCATTTACTTCCTCGGTGGGAAGGATGGGAAGACGGGATGGGCTGAGATGAAAGGGCGTCGCGTCCTACTGGCCCCCAGCTCGGCTCGGTCAACCTTAGCCCCTTCTCGTTAAGTTTGGGAAGGCAGGGGGAGGGGCAGCCGGCCGCTCCTTGGAGACCACAGCAAACATTTCCCTCCTCGTGTCGGAGACGGAGCATCACTTAAGAGGAAATGAACCCCGGTTAAGGGTCACGTCCAGAGGAGGGATAAAAGGAAAAGCCACAATTTTCCTCACACCGACCGACACGAGGGCTTTAAGAAGGAAATCAAAGCTCAGGGCTGAGGGTGGAGGTAGGGCAGGGGCGCGGCGGCTTCTCTCGGCCCCCAGACCCAAGCCTGGGGAGACAGAGACCAAGGCACAAACAGGAGGCTCGTGCGAGGCGTCCGTCCCCAGGGTAAACCTCTGAAAGCATCTCGGTCTGCGTGCGCCTGAGCGACCCGAGCCCCCGGGGAGGGCCGGGAAGATGCTCTTTCCCAACAGAGCTTCCCAGCGAGGGTTTGAAGAACGTTCCCCCCACCATCCATCAAAGCTCAGGCGGACAGATGACTTCACCGTTTAACAGACAAGGGCAGCCACTTGCCAATTCCAATGCCAAAAAAAGACAACGGGCGTGGGGCGGGGGGAGCGGTGGAGGACGGTCAGAAAAGGCTTCCCAGGAGATCACAGCCCTGCGAAGAGACTCCACCGCCAAAGGCTGCCCTGTAGGCGCTCAGCTCCGGGACTGACCACGGAGAGGGCTGAGGGGCCCGCCCGGGGCCCTCAGGGGGCTCCTGGCCAGCCTCCCGCAGGGGTCGTGGGGGCGTACTCACATAGTGCTTGGAGGGGTTCCTCCGCTTCTCCACGTCCACCACGGTGGCATCCTGCACGCAGTAGGCGAGCATCTTCCCCCACAAAGCGAGTGGCGCCCCCCGGCGGCGTCACCTTCTCATCCCGGTCCGGCCCCGGCTCCTTGTCCCGCTTCCCCGGTCCCCGGGTCTCCCCAGCCACTCCGGGCCGGCGCGCCGCTGCCCAGGCTCCCCGCGCCCACAGGTACGGCCGCTGGGCGGGGGCTGTTCAGAGGGCACGCGGGCTCCGTGCGCCCGGGCGGCTCCCCGTGGGCCTGCCGCGCTCCCCTTCCCTCCCGCGCCGCCGCAGCTCTCCGGCTCGCCCGCCCGCTCTCTCCGCCGCCCGGTGGGTCCGGCGGGAACTGGCGGAGCAGAGGAGGGGCGGGGGTGTGTCCCGCCGGCGAGGGGACAGGGCGGGGGCCCCGGAGCCTGCTGTCAGCGCGCTGGGGAGGGGCCGGCGGCGCCCCTTCTCTGCGCTTGGGCTCCGGGGGGCTCGGCGCTGACGGAGGCTGCGGGCGCGGGAGGCGGAGGCAGGGCCGGGCAGGCAGAGAAGGGAAGGGAGGGGAGAGAGGGGAAGCGCGCGGGGAGGGGCTCCGGGCCCGGGGGAGGGGCTCGGGGCGACGGGGAGGGGGGCTGCGGCCCGGCCGGAGAGGCCGGAGCGGGCCCGCGCGCCCCCACCGCGCAGAGAGCGCGGCCAGCGGCCTGGCGGGGCGCTGGTCGACTTCGCCAGGCACAGAAACTCAGGGTGGCTTCGGAGGGAGGAGGGGCGAGGGGGAATGAATCCAGCGCGCCCCCACCCTGGCTTTCGGTCTGCCAGCGGATTTGTGCCTTTCGGCCCCCACCTTTACGGCCCCCTCCCACTCCTATCCCCCAGAGCTCTTTCATGAAAGTAGTTTATTACCCCCACTGTTTTCGCCCAGGCCCTCCGAGCTGGAGACAGGACTGGGGAAGTAGGCGGCATTAAATCCTTCAAGCCAGAGCCTCTTTTGATAAACCACCTGCCCCCCTGCGGGTCACAAAGGGTAAATTCTCCCCGGAAATGTGATCGATCCGCTGCCTGAGTCGTTTATCGATCTGGGCCTGGATAACCAATCTGTGATATCATTTACCAGTGAGGTTACAAGAAGATAACACTCCTGCCTTTAAGCCTAAGGCTTCCCTGGGACCCTCTCCTCCAGGTCGGGGAGGAGGGAAGGGAAAATCCACCATTGGGTTGGGGACCAGCTCATTACTGGCCCCAGGCTCTGACTTTCTCACCACCTCTCCCTCTGGTTTAGAAAACCGACTGTTCAAGTCATTTGTCCATCCCTGGACTTGGGACAAAATTACTATTTAATTCAATTTACACCGCAACCCACCCCCCATCTGTTTCCAGCATTTTTCCATTCTAATTTCAAATATTTAAAGAAGTAGTGTTTTCACAATTAATCCTATTGTTCACAATCACAATAAACTTTGTGACTGTGGAGCAATGCCAAGCATCTGCAATGGAGGCCAAGAGTTTTACCAACTAATTGTGTTAATACTTATTTTTCTCTGTAGATCCTAAGTTTTTTTCTTATGTAAATCCTAAGTTCTAAGACTATTCACACAATTGCTTGGTACAGAGTAGCCTTATTATCCTTCCAGCTTTCTTGGAGAAGTGTGCTAGGACACCAAACAATGCTGCTATCTAAATAGTTGACCTGGAGCAAACCACTTAATACCACAGGCATTAGAGTCATTTTAAAGTTTTCTGTGAAATGGGAGTGCTGAACTAGATGGTCTTTTAAGATTTCTCCCAACATACATTCCAAACTCCTAGCAGTAGTTACTCCTTTGGAGATGATTTTGAGGGCTTTGTTTGTTTGTTTGTTTTTCATAATTAGCGTGTATGGATACTGACATTTTAAAAATATTTTTTTAAATTTCTTCTCTAAAATTCTAGATGTGTAGGCTTGATTGAGCACTTATTCTGTGCTCCTTTACAGGGCATTAAAAAACAAAAGATAAAGAGTGAGAGAATTCAGGTGATGTTTGTGGAACTGAAAACTGAATCCAATTGACAAATGCTTGTCCCTTCCCTCAAAGAGAAGAAAGTACACTTGAGAAATAGGGACACCATTAAGACAGTGTGTAATACAGTGTCCATTGCATGCTCAGTTGTGTCAGACTCTTTGTGATCCCACAGACTGTAGCCTGCCAGGCTTCTCTGTCCATGGGATTATGCCAGCAAGAATATTGGGATACTGGGTTGCCATTTCCTTCTCTAGGGTATCTTACTGACTTAGGGATCGAACCTGCATCTCCTGCTTGGCAGGCAGATTCTTACCTCTGAGCCACCTGGGAATGTCCATTATTGTTGTTGTTCAGTTGCTGAGTCATGTCTGACTGTTTGTGACCCCATGGACTGTGTGCCAGGCTCCTCTGTCCTCCCCTGTCTCCCAGAGTTGGCTCAGATTCATCTCCATTGAGGCAGTGATGTTATCTAAACACCTCATCCCTTCTCCTTTTGCCTTCAATCTTTCCCAGCATCATGGTCTTTTCCAATGAGTCAGCTCTTTGCATTAGGTGGCCAAGGTATTGGAACTTCAGCTTCAGCATCAGTCCTTTCAATGAGTATTCAGGGTTGATTTCCTTTAGGATTGACTGGTTTCATCTTCTTGCTTCCAGGGGACTCTCAAGAGTCTTCTCCAGTACCACAGATCAAAAGCATCAATTCTTTGGTGCTCAGCCTTCTTTAAGGTCCAAGTCTCACATCATGCATGACTACTAGTAAAACCATAGCTTTGACTAGATGGACCTTTGTCAGAGTGATGTCTCTACTTTTTATTATGCTATCTAAGTCACAGCTTTCCTTCTAAGGAGTGTCTTTTACTCTCCTGGCTGCAGTCACTGTCCACAGTGATTTTTGGAGCCCAAGAAAGTAAAATTTGTTTCTACTTCCACTTTTCCCCTTTCTATTTGAAATGCCCTTTAGGATTCCAGAAAATGGAGGCCTGGAATAATCCAGGAGAACTTCCTAGAGGAAACTATGTTGTAGGGACTCTGTATGATCTCTAAACTCTCTACAGGCAGAATTTAGAATACCTTGGAATACTCTGCCTCTTTTGAACTCCTCCAGGCTGGTTGCACTTGCCCCAAGCTGTTTGACTTGTGCATATTTGTCCATGACACACTTCGTCTCTTCTGAGAGTGCCTGGTGCACAAGGACTGGCTGTAAGTTATCTCGTACTTCTTTGCACTCCTCATGGAGCAAAGCTTCACCTTATTCACACTAGTAGTCACTGTACGAGAATCTGCTGAGTGAATGATTGGGGGGAAAGAAAAGGTGGAGTGAGGACACTGAAGCCTGAACCTGCGGGGGACACACAGAGGGCCAGCAGGAGAGTGTCCACCTGGGGAAGAGTCAGGGAAGGGGGTGAGACACAGGAAGAGGAAAGAAGGAGAAGGATGGGTGTAGGGGCTCCGCTCTGTGAGAGATCTTGACACCAGGCAACGGGCTTCTGTATCAGAGAATATGGTAGAAAAATCATTGTGGATGCTGGGAGAAGATCTGAAAGTGATGCCCAGTGCTGTGGAACGGAGGAGAGCAGGCATCACTGCCTTGAGCAAGTCCTGTTCCTTGTGGGAGTGGGAGGGAGGCCTGGATAGACCCTCAGTGCTGATCTCTGCAAGGAAAGGCCTGGGCTGGTAGGAAATCAAGACAACCCGTGGGTTCCTGGTCAAAGGATTCTTAACAGCACTCAGCCACTCTTTCTCTTGGACTGCGAGGTGTTCTGGAAATGCTAGGGAAGCCTGAGAAGCCCCTGGTAAGGGGTATTCAGCTGTTGGAGGGAAAAAAAAGGAGAGGATTGGCTGTCCTGGGTCCGCTTGTGAGTCCAAGCACTCCCCCAAAAGGTACCGGTGGTTTCCTGCTCACTCTGCTTCTTCTGGATCAGGATTTGAACATGGACCTGAGGATAAGAGATCTAGGGGAGAGAGGCAGAAGCTTGGCTACAAGGTGATGGCCTTCTTCTGGTGTAAGAAACCCCGACAACCTGACATCTCTTAAATTCAGGGTCTTGAAGCACAACTTGAGGACTCCCCACTTCTCCCTGTGCTCCCAACTACCTCAGTCGGGAGGGAGCAACTGAGCACCAGCCCCCACCCAACTCCATGGTGCCAAGATCTCTGGGGGTTAGTTGCATAGAAGTTATCAATACCTATGGAAGAAAATCTCCCTCTCTTGGGGCTATAGAGCCAAGAGACTTTAAGTATAAAATGGTACAGACTCTCCCTTCTTCCCTGGGCACATGTCAAGCTCATGCAGATTTCCTTCCCAACAGTGCCTTAGGCATGCGTTTCTGCTCAACACATGTTTACTGAGTGCCTCGCATGTGCCTGGCACTTTTCCAGCAATGACTGACACTAGCTTAAGGCTCCTTGGAGACAAGATGGTGTCTCATCTGTTCAGTGTCTGGCATGCCTGGCACATAGTAGGTACACTGGGTGGTCTGTGTTGAAGACATCTGCTCAAGGAGTTAGTAGTGCTGGAGAGGACCAGCTAAACCCCTATTTTGCCACCTCCATCTATGAATTGGGGATGACTCCAACTCAAGGACATTATATGAGTTCAAATGACAAAGTATAATGTCATTTTTTTTTAAGTTTAGGATAAATAAGGGAAAGAGGACCCAAAATAAAGATGCAAGCTGACTGATACCTGAAAATCTGATTTTTCAGAAACAGAGAACTGTAGGATGCTTAGAACCAAAGAATTTTCCAACTGGAAGGGATCGGAAAGTTTAATTATTCCTTAATTTTACAGAGGCACAAACTGAGGCCAAGAGAAACTAAGCAAGCTGCCCAATGCCACACAGTCAGGGAGTCCCAGACCTCCCATCTTTGTCCTTCGCCACTCTTATAAGCCTATTCACATGCAAGAAGAGATCATTTAGAGCATTACGGATGCCTGCAGATCCAGAATGTTGCTCTCCCTTGACACTCCAAGTCTCCATTCACACAGGCATCACAGGCTCCTTAGAACCCGCTCTCCTGCCTATTCCAGGGAGGATGCTCTTTAAGGTCAGGGACCA